TTCTTCCCTTTTCTCTGCTGATATTTATTTCCAGACTCTCATAGGCCAGGCTCTTTCAGGTTTGAGGAACGCAGTTGTCAGCAAGAGTAACAAAGTGTAAAGAAATGAACTCCTCCTTTTGCAGGTTGTGCAGGATAAGGCAAGAAAAATGAGGTGAAGGAGTCAGTCTTATAGTTGACCACTCCATATGGAAGTTTTGCTAATTAGATGTTTGTAGGTTGGGGTGATAATGAGCCTTGTAAAAGTGATGACTCTGGATTAAGCCCCTGTGACCTGCCTCCTAGAGGCAATAAAGAATGGGGGTACCACTGGCTGCTGCTTCCTGTTATATTTGCTGATATTTTTAAAAATGTGAATTGTATTTTGTTTGGAATCCGGTGATGCCACTATTTTCCTTTTTTTTTTTTTTTTTAATGAGTGATTGAGTTGTCATTACTTTGGCTGTTTATTTTTTTACTTGATTTTTTTTTCTTTTTGGGTGGGTACTTTCTTTTTTACCCTCTTTTAAGCATTCATGGCCCTAAGGTGCTTCTTTGGATTTCTAGGAAAAATATACAGAGGCACTATTGGCTTATAATTTATGCAATCTGATTGAAATAGTTTTTAACTTATTAACATTATATTTCATTTTAAACATTAAAGAATTGTAAACAAGATAGTCTGATAACTCTAATGATGTAATTTTTGGATAATTACTTTAATAATATAATAAAAAATACTGTTCACCTAGATTTCTCAGTTGTTAATATCTTCTTCCATAATTAGTATAGCTACTTTTTACTGAAATATTTTATATAATATCATGTGATATTTTATCCTTGAGTACTTACAAGGCATCTAGAAAAAAATCAGGATATTTGCCTACCTTACCACAATATAATTAATAACTAACAAAGTGAACAATATTTCATATCATCAGCTATGTCAAGCCCTTATTCATTCACATTTCCCAAATCCTCTCCAAAGGCATTTTAGAGTTTAGTTATCAATTGACTCAAGCAAGGTCTGTGAATAGCATTTGAATACTATCTCTTTGAAGACTCTTAATTTCAATATAATTTCCTATTTTTTGCCTCCCCAAACCTGCTTAGTCCCTTCACTAGACATATGAGCATTTAATGCTTGCAAAGATTGAGCCATTTATCCTGTGAAATATCCCATCTTCTGGTTATGTCTGAAAGAGTGAATTTGGAATTCTTCCGTGAATTAGGGTGTAGAATGTACCATTGTCAAAGCATTATGGTGAATGGAAAAATACTGATATGGTATGTTACAAACTGAAGTTTCCTGTCTGAGTGCATCCTGTTATTGTAAGTCTACCTGGGGACTTTGAGTGGAAACAGGAGTATTGATAAAAAACTAATAATTTACTACAGATCCATTTCCTTTTCTCCTCCTATCTTTTCTCCTGTTTTAGACTATAATTTTACAGTTAGGGCCATGTAATTTTAGTATTCTAACTTACTATCTTAAAACTAAATATTTGACTTGGTGAGGAATATACAGAAATGTTAAAAGCATGGACTTTATATTGGGTCCAGCCAGTGGGCAGCTCTACCCTGAGCCTCAGTTTGCTTATCTGGTAAAAGAGAAAATTCCTCCTTCTCCCAGGTTCATTTACTTCCTCTTTCATAATGAGGATAGTGAGATAAAGTTCTCTAGCAAGACTAGCAGAGCTTAGATCACCAAATGATAATGATCATTGTCATTCTTATTGATAATGCAATAATTTGTATTTTAGGTTGGATCTGGAGAAGAAAGGAAAAAGACCAGTATAGCAATGGGGCTGATCACTGATCCTTCCATCTTGTTCCTAGATGAGCCCACAACTGGCTTAGACTGGAGCACAGCAAATGCTATCTTTTTGCTTCTAAAAAAGTAAGTGCTATGGGAATATTGGTCTTTCCTTAGTTAATTTATTTATTCTGTGTACCATATATTCTTGGTGAAGGGGATTAAAAATGAACAATATAACTTTTTTCTTCTTTCTTGGAAACAATTAACAGTAAGTAGTTTTAAAAAAAAGTTAAAACAAGAATATATGGAAGGATGGCCATGGTGGCAGTGGGGAGCTGATTTAAATAGCAGGAGGGTCAGGGAAGACTATCATGTGACAGATGAGCTGGGAGTAAGTGAATGAGACCAGCTGTATCAGCACAAGAGAGTTCTAATTGGAAGGAGCAGCCCCAATGGCCCTGAGGTGGAGTATGCCTGATGTGTGTGGACCATCATAGAAGCCAGAGGGACAGAACCCAGTGACTTTGGGGAGTAGAGGCTAGTTTCTGCAGTGTCATAATAATACTACAGCCTGGGGGATGAGCAACAGAAATTACTTTTCTTATAGCTCTGGAGGCTAAAAGGTCACAGGCCACTGTAAAAATTATGGCATTTCCTGTAACTAAGGGACATGAGAGCATTTTGAGAATGTCAGAGCAGAGCAATGGCTTTGCAGTCAGTCCAGGGTGAGTGAAGGTCACCAGGGCAGAGCTGCTCATGGTGAGGAGAAAAGGGCCTGGACCAGGACAGGGATTGGACCAGGTTGCTCATGGGGAGGTGGAAAGAAGACCTTGGGTTCTGGATTTGTTTTCAAGGCAGATCAACAGGATCAACTCAGGAATTAGATATGGGTTATAAGGATTGAGATAATGACTTCTAAGATTTGGACTTGAACAAATGGAAAAAAATGAAGCAAATGAAATTATATTTCCTTTTATCCAGAAAGCAGTTGTATTAAAAGACAATAAAATTATAGCATTTGCAGGTAAATGGATGGAGTACCATGCTAAGCGAAATAAGCCAATCCTCCAAACACAAAGGCCAAATGTTTTCTCTGATATGTGGATGCTGATCCATAATGGATGGGTGGGGGGCACAGGGGCAGAATGGAGGAACTTTGGATTGGGTAAAGGGGATTGAAGGGAGGGTAGGGGGCATGCAGTAGGAAGGATGGTGGAATGAGAAGATTATCATTACCCTAGGTACATGTATGATTGCATGAATGGTGTGACCCTACATTGTGTATAACCAGAGAAATGAAAAGTTGGGTTCTATTTGTATAGAATGAATTCAAGTGCATTCTGCTGTCATGTAGAACTAATTAGAAAAATATGAAAAAAGAAGAGCTATGTAAAACATTTATAGAAAATATTCAAAAGTTGAGCTTTGTACATTTTCTATAAGATGAACAAAAAATAGTTGAAAACCAACAGAAAAACTCCAAGTACAATGCAAATAAGTCCCACTTCCTGCACCTAGACTCCCTGCATTTTACTTCATTTCTGTCAGATCAGGAGAGGCAGGCAGCGACCAAAGGAGGCAGATTTAAAAAGGCCGCTGAAGGAGGCTTTATTGAGATATCGCTCCCGGGTGGAACTCCATCAGACCCACAGAGTGGACAGGAGAAGAGTCTGGGGAGAAACCCCGTGGGAGCTTGATGGACTGGGATTTTAAGGGGCTCACAGCAGGAAGGGAAGGGCTTGGGACAGGTAAGGGAATTTTTAGGGTCCCTTGTCCTGCTGGAGTTGATCAGGGGAGCTGGCTGAGCTCCAGGATGGCCAGAGGGTCCTGCTGATTGACAGGCATTAGTCAGGAGATCTCGGTGATTGACAGGCATTTCTGCCGGCATCTAATTGATGGATGTTCCTTTCCTGGGTGCGAGCTGCTTTGTTCTAAGTCACCTCCACCGACCTAAAAATTTCCTACCCCCTTCTGTCTCTAATCTAATTACATAATTATTTTCTGACATGTATTCAATTCTTAAACACCCGTGTGAACTCCAAGAGTCAGCACCTCCCAGCGAGGAACCCAACAATCACATTTTCATCACTGTTCAATCTGAGGACTCCTATCAAATGTCACTAGCTCTCCTGCTATCTCTGTTTTCATTCTGCCTCAGGATCCTTAGCAAAAACATGTACTTTCTAGCTGTTATATATATATATATTTCCTATTCTGGAAAAGTTCCTCAGCCATTCCTTGTCATGCCTGGACATTCTTCATACATTTCATGGGGTGACCCTGGGCTGGGCCCATCCCTGTGTTTCATGAGCAAACTCAGACCATGAAATGCTGCTGTGTATTTCTCAGCACTACACTTCTGGGACTGCATGCACTATAGGTGATACTGAGACCAATCATCTGATCCTATTTGTGTTTGCCAAACTTCTTTGCTGGGAAATTACTATTTATGCCTTTAATAGTTGATTAGTATTTTGTTGGTTAAGAAGTTTGACTGGGCTGGGGATGTGGCTCAAGTGGTAGCGTGCTCACCTGGCATGCGTACGGTCTGGGTTGGATCCTCGGCACCACATACAAACAAAGATGTTGTGTCCACCGAAAACTAAAAAATAAATATGAAGAAGATTCTCTCTCTCTCTTTCTCTCTCTCTCTCTCTTTCAAAAAAAAGAAGTTTGACTATTATGCTTATATCTTCATCCTCATCAAATCTTCCCTCACCAGCATTAGCATACACCAATAACTCCTCCTCTTTTGGTAGCTGCCTAACTTACACTAGTTGGTATCTATGGAAGGAGGAGATTTCTCTCCTTCCCTTTCTCTCCTTCCCTATTCACTTTTCATTTTGTGCAATTGGTTATAATCTGTTATTGACTGTTTTAATAATCAAATTAGCCCTGATTTGATCAGTGGAAGCCATGTCAATTCGAGTCTTGTTTTCTTTTCATATTCCCCTAGTCAATCTTCTAACAATTATTTACTTCATGGATTCTATGATGTTCTAGGCCCTTCTACTACAGTTCCTGTGTGAGCTATTTCTTTCAAGAACCTTGGTTCCTTGGGGTGTAGTTGATATTTAGAAATCAAGAGCTGGTTGCACAGTGTTCTCACTGTTATTGGCGTAGCATTGCTTCTAGACCTTTAGTAGACAGACCTAGGAAACATAAATATATAAATTTTATGTGTATATATAAATAAAATTTAGAAATACATTTATATGTTTTATTTGGAAATATATTGATCACAAATACATTTTACTAATATGGTATATATGTATATACATATACAGTTTATTTTTCTGCTGGAGATCCATAGTTCTCAAACACTAAGTATCTGTTCTCTCACTAAACTACAGTCCCAGCCACAATATATGCATATATTTTTTTCAATAAAAAGGTGCATGTAAATATTGGTGTTTATATATTCAAAAGCTCATGAGTTCATAATAATATTTTTAATTCCAGTTTAACCTCTCTGTGATATTTTGAGTCTTTGCCATTTTCTTATATGTAAGTGACTTCAGAGAGTGAGAGGTTTGGTTCCCATCTTGTCAATACACTCACTTACTTGCTCAGACAAATCATTTGTTTAATGCCATCCAGTCCAGTCACTCCAGCCACTCTCTTTGTGCACCACCTCTGCAAACTGCCCTGCTTTGTATTTTAAGTAATCAGACATACCACTTTCATGGCCTATCCTCTCTATCACTATCTTGCTTCCTCTGAAGCTCATATCCAGGTAAGCAAATCTCTATTCTATGCAGGAAGATTGAAGGATGTTACAATTGTCCTTGCTTATGAATAAGGAACCCTTAGCTACTTCTTTTATACAGTGTATTGAAATCATTAATCTTATGGTCTGATTCTCTTAGAGGCAGAATACCTTAGGGCATTCTGCCATATCCTGATAGCATACACTAGTTACTTAATCAAATATGTAAATTGAAGTGATTTTTGTCATAAAATATTTTTAATAACAAGATTGCCATTTCCCCCCATACACTGTCAACTAGACTTACAGACAGGATCCTTGGGAATCAGATTGGCTGAAGTAGAAATTTCTAAATTAAGGGTCTCCCCACAAACAACTTTCCCTTATCACCCTAAATTTCAGAGTTGACAGAACCATTCATATACTCTGACCTTTCCAACTGGCTTTTCACTTAGTCATATCCCTGCCCCCATTAATCATTAAGTTCAAATTACCAAGCGTTTTCTTTTTTCTATTTTAAAATTTTTAATTTTTTTTATTTGTTCTGTTTAGATAAACTTGACAGTAGAGTGTATTTTGACATATTATACTTATATAGAGTTTAACTTAAAATCCCATCCCATTCTTGTGGTTGTACATGACGTGGAGTTATACTGGTTGTGCATTTATATGTGAACATGGGAAAGTTATGTCTCATTCTACTGTCTTTTCTATTCTCATCCCCCTCTCTTTCCTTTATTCCCTTTTGTCTAACCAGATGAAATTCTATTCTTCCCTCCTCACCTCCCCTTATTGTGTGTTAGCATCCACAAATTAATCAACCCTTTTTTTTCTTTCGGTGGTGCTGAGGATTGAACCCAGGGCCTTATGCATGCAAGGCCATCACTATGCCGACTGAGCTATAATCTCCATCCACATATTAGATAGAACATTTGGTCTTTGTTTTTTGGGAATTGGCGTAGTGTGATAGTCTCAATTCCATCCATTTACCAGCAAATGCTATATTTCATTCTTCTTTATGGGTGAGTGATATTTTATTTTGTATATATGCCACATGTTCTTTATCCATTCATCTGTTGAAGGGCACCTAAGTTGGTTCCGTAGCTTACTATTGTGAATTGAGCTGCTATAAACATTGATGTGATTGTGTCACTGTAGTTGTCTGATTTTATTTCCTTTGGGTATAAAAGGTTCTTAACGAGGAAAATAGATGTAAAACCAAATAAAAGGTGACAAAAACAACATGTATGTACACATATACATATATTTTTAATAACAATATTGAACAGTGATTTTGGCCATTTCTTTTAACCATAAATAATAACTCCTGTGAAACGGTAGTTTAGTACTATTTCTCCCATGGAATTAGAACAGAGTTTAAATCTCAGCATTGTCCTTTAGTAACATTGTCTCCTTGGTCAGTTGCTTGATCTTATTTAAATGATATCTGTAAATAGAAGGAGACAATAATATGGGAACTGTTATAACAACATTGTGAAAATAAGGTAGGATGTACTTATTAATTTCAACTATATTACTAGGACATAAAGATCAAACAATCCTAAAGAGCCAGAAGATTTAAATAATCAATGAGAAGTAGGCAAATGACCATTGTTTTAACATGTAATAAATACTTATAGACATACCTGGAATGCTTGTTAAAAATATGGATGCCCTGAATTCACCCTAAGAGATTCTAATTCAACCTCTGGGAAGACTGTCTGAGAATCTGCATTGTCAATGAACATTTAATGAATTCTAGACTGTTGTGCATCATCATTAAGAGGCTCTAGTGGTTTTTTTTTTTGGGGGGGGGGGTTGTTTGTTTGTTTTTGTGGTTCTGGGGATTGAACCTAGGGCCTTGTGCATGTGAAGCAAGTATTCTGCCAACTGAGCTATATTCCCAGTCCCAGCCCTAATAATAACTCACACCTACTTTAATGAAAACATTTAGTTTAGGTTCCCCAAGTGTCATGTAGATAACATGAGATGAGAAGTTTATACTTGAAAAATCAAATTAAACTTTGGATAAATGCTCTCACCATACAATAAACTATTTTATTAAGAAGTGCAACGTTCAGATATCTAACAACTCATTATTTTCCTTCTTTCAACTTAGCATTTCTGAGCAAGGACGAACAATCATCTTCTCCTTTCATCAGCCTCAGAATTCCATCTTCAAGCTGTTTGACAGCCTCACCTTATTGGCCTCAGGAAAGCTAATGTACCACGGTCCTGCCCAGAAGGCTTTGGAGTACTTTGAATCAGCAGGTGTGGTTGACCTTTTCTGCACTAGATCCTTCCATCACAGACTCCTGGGGAAGGACAGTGGGCTGGACAGGAGCACTGCTTGGTCTCTGCATAGACTAACGGGTGCCATCACTCCAAAACATTTTTGGTCAGTTTAGTGTCAGGAATTTTCTTCATTTTTCAGTGTTTGCTTGTTGTTTAGGTCTCTTTCCTTCTTCTCCCCTCTTTGAATGTGTGTGTGTGTGTGTGTGTGTGTGTGTGTGTGTTTCTCATGGGCTTACTTCCTAGTTATGGTGACCATTCCCTGAGAGTTCAATAATTAACTGGTTGGACTCACAGCCAGGCTTTTCAGCTGAACATTTTTGGAAAGACCCAGTATCATTCATTTTCTTCTAGACCATGCAACAGATAGTGATGTTGTTCTACTTTTATGAGGGCTCATGGAGATGCTCATTGTTTCCTAGTAATATTAAATTGGCTTGAGTGGGTGTAAGTTATTATTAGCCACTGGAATGGCTGGTCGTAAGTTTGACTTGGGGAGGCAAACATTTCTGGGCTCCCAGGTTCTCTTTCAGATTGAATTGTGTGATCTTTTTAAGGCTCAGGCAATCTGCTTCATTTTAGAGACATTTAGAAATTATTATAGATATTTCTTCATAACCCCAAATACAGTTTTAAATATTCCCTAGCTATCTTAATACTTTAATTTATTCTCAGCCACTTAAAATTAAGCATGTATGGGTTTAGAGAGTTCAGAGGAGATGAACTTAAAGAGTCAGGTCTCAGGCCAAGTTCAGATGATTGTGCCAGAAGAAGTTGAGGTGAGAGTTTGGGTGTGCTATGCTGGTCGTGTTCTCTCAAGAATTCAGTTCTGGGAATTTGTTGGCTATTTTGAATTATGGCAGCATGATATGATAATGATAATTTGGATCTCTGAATTTAATAGGTGGAGAAGCAATCTTGTTGACATGCATAGTGCCATCCCAGCATTTGCTTCATGAACTCAGAAAACACAATGAACCCAGGCATTTTTTTTCTTGTATCTAGATTTAAGAAGTACTGATAAGAATCAGTTGATCTTGATAAAAAGGGATCAGTATATTATGTTCTAAAAAGTCCAAGATTGGTTAACACACACACACAAACACACAAAAACAATAAAATAAAACCACATACACACATATTTATATGTATTATATATGTGTGTGTTTACAAACAAACACACATAGGGTTGGGAGACAAAGCATTGTTGAAATATTTTGTGAATGAATAAGGAAAGTATAAACCAGTGAGGTGAGAAGAAAGCAAGAACATGGCAGAGAAAATGTTAGATTTGTCTTCCCTAGCCTCACTTCCCTCACTCTCTGGAAGTGAGTAGTTTTTACTTTTCAAGCCCATCAGGTTGAGTTCTTTGGTTGCTTTGTTTCATAGGTTACCATTGTGAGCTCCTCAATAACCCTTCAGACTTCTTCGTGGATGTCATCAATGGAGACTCCCCTGCTTCGGTGACAGCAATGCAAGAGGAAGGGGGTGAAGGTATGTGAATAGCTTAGATTCACAGGTCTTTACCTGGTTGAATTGGCTGAAGTTTAGCAATGTGGTGGCTCATTAAAACTTGGCTTTCTGAATTCCTACTCATATGGTGTTGTGATACCAGTTAACAGATAGACTTTCTTCTCCATAAGAGCTATGGATGTTCTTTATTGAGTTTATGAATGACCGCTTCTGTGCTACTCTCAGTTGTAAAGGAGTTTTCATTAAAAAGTAAATATGATAATTTTTGTCATTTTCTTAGAAAAAGAAATTGGCACTTCATACTTTTGCACATAGTAGAAAACTAGGACAAAACTTTTTAATTAAGACTTATAATTCTGTATGGTAAGGAGTCTATTTTAACGTTTAAGGTCCACATATTTAGGAAAAGGTCTGTGAGTTTGCTCTAGCCATAAGATCCAGGCAGAAGTCATGTTAATTCCATGTGTTTTTCTGATGTGTAGAGCAATGACAGTGCTAGTGATTTTTCTATGCTTAGCTTTAAAATTTAGGTGTTATCCATGAAAATAATCACAGAAAAAAATGCTTTGTTTGTCACCTATTAATAATGTTTCTCTTCTATTTGTGCTTTTATTCCAAAGCCAATGAGACTGAACAGCTATTAATGGGAAAACTGCCAGTGATCGAAAGATTAGCTCAGTTTTATAGAAAATCCCCTTTCTATAGAGAAACAGAAACTGAATTAGAGAGACTTTCGGGTGGCCAACATAGCAGCAGCAACTTGGCCTTCAAGGAGATCACCTATGTCACCACCTTCTGCCATCAGTTCAGATGGATTTTCTGGCGTTCGTTCAGAAACTTGATGGGTCATCCCCAGCCCTGGATAGTTCAGGTAATCTTACAGATTCTTTTAGGTTTGCTGTAGAATATTCATGTAGATGCAATTTGGTTCTGGAAAGGTTTATTTTCAGTGATTCTTGGAATATATAACTCAGAATTGTTTGAACTAGACAAGTTGTAAGGGATCATCTTAATAAGAAACTTATATTTTTCAATAAATGGAAGCTAACAACATAATCCATATTTGGGGTTTTTAGTATCTGTCCACTTCCATTCATTGATTCATTCCACAACTTGAATACAAGATCTTGAGTTGTATTTTGGGAACTCTAATATGGTAGTAGACAAAGTGAGTAAAAATAACAACCTCTGCTCTCATGGAACTTATTTTCGTATGAAGGCAGAGTGATGATGAGTGAAGTAATACAACATACAGCATGTTAGATTGCAAGAGGGACTACACAAAAAGTTCAGGCAAAATAGGGATAGAGAAGAGAAAGAGAGAGGGCAAGAGATAGGGAAAAGAGGGTTGATTTGCTTTTGAAATTAGGTGGTGAGGGAAAGCTAATGGCTTTGAATACATCTGCAAGTACCTTGGACTATCCCCTCAATGAGGAAAGAGCCTGTATGCAGAATTTTCTCCTTGTAATTGACCCTCCTCCTTAAGAGATTCTAATGTTTGGAAAGCACTAGATATCTTGAAAAGTTTTCAGTTTAAACACAGATAGTAACCACACTTAGCAATTAAATTTTTTTATTAGTTGCTCAAAACATTACAATGATCTTGACATATATCATTTGATTCAAATGGGGTATGAATTCTTATTTTTCCCACATGTACAAATTGCAGGATCACATTAATTATACAGCCACGTTTATACATACTGCCATACTAGTGTCTAGTGTCTGTTGTAATCTGCTGCCCTTCCTATCCCAGCAATTAATAATTGACACTGTCACATTAACACTCTTTACTAAGATGTGATGATAACGTTCTTTTTCTCCTTTTGACTGGCCTTTGGTCATTGTTGATTATTACTCCTTAAAGTTTTTTTTTTCTTCTTTTTTGCTATTCCTAACTTCTGTGTCACAATAAAAAGTTCACATCAGTCCATCATTTATAAGGAAATCAATTTAGCTAGTTATTTGGGAGTTGTTACTTTTATTATTATTGAGTTTAAATTGAGAACTGAAAAATGGCCTGTTGTAGGTTCTACTGAACTGACTTCTTAACATGAGAACCACTGTTTTTATTTTTGAGTATTGTCACCTTCCAGGTGTATCTGAGAGCCTGTTCCTGTTTCAGTCATGCTATCATGTTTGTTATACCACATGTTTCTGAACTTTTCATTTATCATTCTGTAGAACATGGCCACTTTTGTGTTATGTTAATCAAGGCTAACATTTTATTCTCTGAGAATAGATTTGATGTCTTGTAGAATCATGCCAGGTTCAGGCAAGATATTAACTTGGGTCACCCATTGTTCAACAGTGGGGTGATATAAGGAGTTGATTCTTTAGTGTGTTTTCTGTGTTAGGTTTTTTTGTTTGTTTGTTTGTTTGTTTTTTTGTACTGCCTCTAAACATGGTTTATGTCTCATCCAGGACCCATGTATGATAGTTATGGGCAGGGCATGAATAGACCATGGCTACTTGGTATACACCAGGATTGTGCCTATTTGGGGTCTTGGCTTCATTAAGGCACAAACACCAGGCCCAGAGTCTCCAGGTCACCTGTTCAGCCTCATCAGCAAACTCAATCCTACAAAAGGAGTTCCCACAATGTTCAGAGAAGTAGCTATCTCTAAAATAAGGGTAGAACCTTGAAGCTCCTGGAGTTTAGCAGAACAACTCTTGTTAAAGTTTGTGAACTCTAAAGTGTTAGTGTAAGAGTAGGCAAACCCTTTTCTGTAAAGGGCCAGATGGTAAATGTCTTAGGCTTTGTAGGCCACATCTAGTCTTTGTCTCAGGTGGTCAACCCATTTTAGCATGAAAATAGCTGTAGCTGATGCATAATGAACATGGCTGGGTTCTCATGAAATGATATTCATGACACTGAAGTTTGAATTTCATATAAATTACATAGTACAAGATAATCTTACCTTTTCCCCTCCAACTATTAAAAAACATTCTTAGCTCATCAACTTTAAAAAATAAACAATTGGTATTTGGCCTCATTTGGCCTGGTGGCCATAGTTTACTTGGCATAGGGTTTGAAATCTTGTCTGATTTTTATTTCTCTAAGTTTTGATCATGGAATTGTTAAAATACTTATGACTTCCTACTGATAAATCTTGTGTCTCTTGATGTATAGCTGTACTTTGGTTTGAACTAGACATATACATACATGACTCAGACTTTATTTCTAACCAGAGGCTGTATTTGGGAGATATTGAAAAGAATGGATGATCTGAATAAGATTTATTGTTCAATTATTTCCTGATCAAACCAATTTTGAAGAGCTGTGGTTAATCTCTTAGAAAGTCATTGTTTTCTATGAGCATATTAAACATTTGACTATGGATTTATTTTGTTAGTAACTACACAAACTTCTCTAAGAACATGTCTTGAGAAATACTCATTCAATACATTTGAACAAAAACAAATTAAAATATTTGGACGATTTCTTTTTCTAATCCTTCTCTTCAAAACTGAGACTGGCGGCCACTTGCTCAAAGCTCAGTCATTTGATCCATTATGCAATTTCGTTTTGCCTGGTGTCTTTTCTTCCTTCATATAAGAAAGAATAGCACAGATATACTTTGAAAACCATGACATGATCATAGGATTCACTGATTTGCCAGTATAATAGAGAACCGACTGAAAATAAGGAACAGGTGTTGTGTTAGTATAAGATATCAAGTGTGAATGCTAAAGAAACAAAGAATGCAGAGCCTCTGGATAGCAAGACTGAATATAAGTTATCCTAAGTGAAGTATAGATTGTCATAGACCTGTGCGTCCTGCACATTGGCAGATCCATCTTTTTCTACTGACATGAAGTGAATGTATTCTGAGGGTAGTGAAGGCATGGAACAGAATGAATTTTACCCTAAATGTCTATCCTCTGTTGAATGACATTTTATGAATAAAACATTTAAATAATATTGTTTCCAGCCTGTGGTCTTTACAAACCAGTCTTTTCAGATTATGATTTAGTTTTTCTATTTTGGCTTGTTGCCTGTCTAAACTGTTCTTCACAAATCACTTCATGTGTGGATACAATTATAATGTTGAGTATTTCTTTTAAAGTTTGAAGATTTCAAGATATATGGTAAGGTATTTTGTTTTTTCTAGATTTCTATTTCCTATACTTTTATATTTAACTCATGAATCATTATATGTAGAATCCCTCAAATAAAACATGATAATTGACCCTTAATCTTTTTTGATTGAAGCATCCCTATGAGAATTTTATCCTTAAAAGAAAAGTGGTAGACTGGGGCTGTGGCTCAGTGGTAGCATACTTGCATGGCATGTGTAAGGCACTGGGTTTGATTCTCAGTACCACATATAAATAAATAAAATAAAGGTCTATCAACAACCAGAAAATATATAAAAAATAATTTCAAAAACAAAAAGTGGTACTGGCCCAGTAACGTTGGGAGTTGTATACAGACTGAGTAGGTAAGGATGGTGAGGAACTGTTAGCTCAGGTGGGACATTGACAGTAGGCTTCACTGGCTGAGGTTGAAGGAGCAGACAAAGGAGATGGTAATGGATGCACTTGAGTATCCTCAGAGAAAACTAGTTAAGTGCTTTGGTGACAGTTACAATGTAATTTCCCATGCAGGCCAGGAGGTTGAATAGGTGGGAGCCAACTTACAATTAGTCTTTATCATGAAAAATACCGTTGTCAAAATTTGTGTGTGTATGCTTTTAAAATGTTGTTTATTCATTTTGTGGTGCTGGGGTCAAACCCAGTGTCTTGCACATGCTAGGCTAGCATTCTCCTGCTAATCTTCACACCCAGCCCTGAAATTACATACACATTATTTATTTACTTATTTATATTTTTGCAGTGCTACAGCTTAAACCCAGGGCCTTGTGCACATGAGACAAGCACTTTATCAACTGAGATATATCCCCAACCCATATTTATTTTTAATAAGAGTGTAAAGTCATCCTGTTTTCATTTGAACCTCTTGAAGGATGAAACTATGCATGTGCACTGGTGCAAAAGTTAAGAGTTCCATGTAAGTCTGAACTCTTCCCCACTTAGATGTTAGTTTGTTCCCCAAGTAATTTTCTGCATCACTCTGCCATACTGTGTATCATTTGCATGTCCAGTATCAGAGCTGGGGCTTGGACTGGCCATTCCTGGTGAACACTGGGAGGGATTTTAGCCTGTCCAGTAGACTGCTCAATTTTCTTGTCAGTTCCCCAAACATTTTTAAGTTGGTTTGGAAAGTAGTCTAATAACACACATGATTTTATATTCTCCCAGGGTCTGACCAAGTCATTTAAAGTGTTTATCTCCAGAGAGGTATCTGGTTATATAGTCATATATAATATCATAATAAATGATGTGAAATCCAGATGTGGTAACACAAGCCTATAATCCCAAAGACTCTGGAGGCTGAGGCAGGAAGATCACAAGTTCAAAGCCAGCCTGAGCAACAGCAAGGCATTAAGCAACTCAGAGAGTCCCTATCTCTAAATAAAATACAAAATAGGCCTGGGGATTGGCTCAGTGGTCAAGTAACCTTGAGTTGAATCCCTGGTAAATAAATAAATCAATAAATAAATAAAGTGGAAAAAATTTACCTAACATTACAACTCTATTTTCATTTTTTTTTTGGAAAAGATAACCATCATATTGATACTGGGGCTGATAGTAGGTGGCACTTTCCTTCAACTAAAAAATGATTGTACTGAAATCCAGAATAGGTAAGTAAATCTAAATACTGTTACTTTGTTCAAGCTTATAAAGACCCAGTACGAATTTGAATTTATAATGAGTATGTGATAAATGTCACTGTTTTATTGGGGGTGGAATGAGCATATTGCAAACTGAATGGAAGAGTTAGTTTTTGTTTTCTCAAATGTATGTCTGAGTGGTAAATAATATACAACATAAATTTTGTCTTTTTAACCATTTTTAAGCGTATAGTTCAGTGGTATCAGTTGCATTCACATTGTGCAACTATCACTACCATCCAGCTCAAGAAGATGTTTTCATCTTCTCAAATGGAATCTTCATACCCATTAAAGAATAACCCTCCATAACCATCAATCCCAACCCCTTGCTACCACCTTATAATTCTACCTCTGAATCTGGCCACTCTAGATCCTCATAAACATGGACTGATACAGTGTTAGTCCTTTAGTGCCTTATTTTCTTTAGCATTATGTCCTTAATAATCATCCAAGCTGAATCATATGTTGGAATTTCTGTCCATTTTAAGACTGAATAATAGTCTATTGAATATATACTACATTTTCTTTATCATTCCTCTGTTTCTGAAAATGTGGGTTGTTTCCACCTTTAAGTTGTTAATAATGTTGCTATGGGTATACAAATATTTGTCTGAATTCCTGATTGCAGCACTTCGATGTAGGTACCTACCCTTGTTGGAACAAATGATAATTTTAATTTTTTCAGGAACTCCTATGCTATCTTTCACTGCAGCTACATCATTTTATATGTTTTTAAAAGTTTATTATTTATTCTAAACTTTTATACATGATAGCAGAATGCACTTCAATTCATAGTAAACATTATGGAGCACAATTTTTCATTTCTCTGGTTGTACACAAAGCAAGAGTCACAACATTTATGTCTTCATAATTGTACCTACAGTAATGATCTCATTCCACCATCTTTCCTATTCCCCACCCCACTGCTCTCTCCCCTTTGCCCTATCCAAATTTCCTCTATTCATCTCATGCCCCCCACCACCACCATTATGGATCAGCATCCACTTATCAGAGAAAATATTTGGCCTCCTGATTGGGGGGATTGGTTTATTTCACTTAACATGATATTCTACAACTCCATCCATTTACCTGCAAATGCCATGATTTTATTATCTTTTAATGCTGAGTAATATTTAATTGTGTATACATACCACAGTTTCTTTATTCATTCATCTACTGAAGGGCATCTAGGTTGGTTCCAAAATTTAGCTATTGTGAATTATGCTGCTATAAACATTGATGTGGCTGCATCACTGTAATATGCTGTTTTTCATTTCTTTGGCTATAGACCCGGGAGTGGGATAGCTGGTTTAAATGGTGGTTCCAGTCCAAATTTTCCAAGGAATCTTCATATTGCTTTCCAGAGCGGTTGCACCAATTTACAACCAGCAATATATAAGTGTGCCTTTTCCCCACATCCTCACCAACATTTATTGTTGCTTGTGTTCTTAATAACTGCCATTCTGACTGGAGTGAGATGAAATTTTAAAGCAATTTTGATTTTCATTTCTCTAATTGCTATAGATATTGAACATTTTTTCATGTATTTGTTGATCAATTGTATATCATCTTCTGAGAAGAACCAGTTCAGTTCCTAAGTCCATTTATTGATTGGGTTACTTGTTTTTTTGATATTAAGTTTTTTATATATTTTGCAGATTAGGGCTCTATCTGAAATGTGTTCATTAAAAATTGTGCCCTTTTTGTAGGCTCTCTCCTCACCTCACTGATTGTTTCTTTTGTCAAGAAGAAGCTTTTCAGTTTGAATACATCCCATTTATTGATTCTTTATTTTATTTCTTGAGCTAGGGGAGTCTTGTTAAGGGAGTTGGGGTCTGATCTGACATGATGAAGATTTTGGTTCTACTTTTTTTTTCTATTAGGTGCAGGGACTCTGATCTAATTCCTAGGTCTTTAATCTAGTTTGAGTTGAGAATTATGCCGGGTTAGAGATAGAGGCTTGATTTCATTTTGCTGCATATGGATTTTCAGTTTCCCAGCACCATTTACTGAAGAGGCTATCTTTTCTCCAATATATGTTTTTGGCACCTTTGTCTAATATGAGATAACTATATTTATGTGGGTTTGTCTCTGTGTCCTCTATGCTATATCAATCTACAAGTCTATTTTGGTGCCAATACCATGTTGTTTTTGTTATTATTTCTCTGCAGTAAAGTTTAAGGTCTGTTACAGTGAAGCCACCTGCTTTTACTCTTCTTGCTAAGAATTTCTTTGGCTATTCTGGGTTTCTTAATTTTCCAGATGAATTTCATGGTTGCTTTTTCTATTTCTATGAGGAATATCATTTGGATTTTGATTGGAATAGCATTAAATCTGTATAGTGCTTTTGCCATTTTGACAATATTAATTCTGCCTATCCAAGAACAAGGGAGAGCTTTCCATCTTCTAAGGTCTGCTTTACTTTCTTTCTTTAGCATTCTGCAGTTTTCACTGTAAACATATTTAACCTCTTTTGTTAGATGGATTCCCAAATAAATTATTTTATTTGAGGTTATTGTAATGGGGTTGTTTTCCTAGTTTCACTTTCAGAGGATTCATCACTGATGGACAGAAATGCATTTGATTTATGGATGTTGATTTCACATCCTACAATTTTGCTAAACTCATTTATTAGTTCTAGAAGTTTTTTTGGTGGAATTTTTTGGATCCACTAAGTATAGAATCATGTTGTCAACATATAGTGATAGTTTTAGTTCTTCTTTTCTCATTCATATTCCTTTAATTTCTTTCATCTCTCTAATTGCTCTGGCTAGAGTTTCAAGGACTATGTTAAATAGAAGTGGTGAAAGAGGGCATCCCTGTCTTGTTCCAGTTTTTTAGAAGAAATGCATTGTATTTTTCTCCATTTAGAATGAAGTTGGCATTGGGCATAGCATAAATATCTTTTACAATATTGAGATATGTTCCTATTATCCCTAGTTCTTCTAGTGTTTTGAACACAAAGGGGTGCTGCATTTTGTTGAATGCTTTTTCTGGATCTATTGAGATGATCATGTGATTCCTATCTTTAAGTTCATTGATGTGGTGAATTGCATTTATTGATTTACAAATGTTGAGCCAACCTGGGTTGAACCCCTCTTGGTTGTGGTGCACTATCTTTCAAATATGTTTTTGTATTCAATTTGCCAGAATTTTATTGAGAATTTTTGCATCTATGTTCATTAGAGCTACTGGTCTGAAGTTTTCTCTCCTTGATGTGTCTTTGTCTGGTTTTGATGTTAGGGGATATTGGCCCCATAGAATGAGTTTGGAAGGACTTCCTCTTTTTCTATTTTGTGGAATAATTTGAGGAGTATTAGTATTAATTCTTCTTTGAAAATTCTGTAGAACTCAGCTAGGAATACTTCTGGTCTTGGGATTTTTTTTTGTTGACAGGTTTTTGATAACATCTTCTATTTCATTGCTTGGAATTCATCTGATTAACTTGTGTATATTGTGCTGATACAGTTTGGGTAAATAATATGACTCTAGAAATTTGTTGATGTCTTCAATATTTTCTACTTTATTGGAGTACAAAGTTTTAAAATAACTTCTAATTTTCTTCTGTATTTCTGTAGTGTTTGTCGTGATATTTCCTTTATCATCACAAATTTTAGTAATTTGAATTTTCTCCTTTTTTCATTAGCATGGCTAAGGGTTTATCAATTTTATTTATTTTTTCAAAGAACCATCTTTTTTTCATCAATTTTTTCAATTGATACTTTTGTTTTGATTTCATTATTTCAAACCAGATTTTAATTATTCTGGCTTCTAATACTTTTGGTGTTCATATGTTCTTTTTATAGAGCTTTGTGATGTAATGTTAGGTCATTTATTTGTTGACTTTTTCTTCTTTTAATGAATGAACTCCCTGCAATGAACTTTCCTCTTAGTATTGCCTTCTTAGTGTCCCAGAGATTTTGATATGTTGTATCTGTGTTTTCATTACCTCTAAGAATTTTCTAATCTCCTCTTGAATGTCTTCTGCTATCCATTCATCATTCAAAAGCATATTATTTAGTCTCCAGGTGTTGGAGTAGCTTCTATTTTTTATTTTATCATTGATTTCTAATTTTATTCCCTTATGATCCAATAGAATACAGATTAATATCTCTACTTCTTTTATTTGCTAAGAGATGCTTTGTGGCATAATATATGGTTTATTTTAGAGAAGGATCCAGGTGCTGCTGAGAAGAAAGTGTATTCACTAGTTGATGGACAAAATAATATATATATGCCTGTTAAGTCTAAGTCATTGATTGTATTATTGAGTTCTATAGTTTCTTTGTTTATCTTTTGTTGAGAAGATCTATCCAGTGGTGAAAGAGGTGTGTTAAAGTCACCCAGTATTATTGTGATGTGGTCTATTTGACTCTCAAGGTTGAGAAGAGTTCATTTGATGAACATAGATGCTCCATTGTTTGGTGCATATATATTTATAATTGTTATGTCTTTTTGTTGTATGGTTCCCTTAAGCAATATGTAACATCCTTCTTTATCCCTTTTGATTAACTTTGGCTTGAAGTCTACTTTATTTGGTATGAGGATAGAAACCCCCTCTTATTTCTGCAGTACATGTGAATGGTATATTTTTTCCTAACCCTTCACCTTCAGTCTGTGGATGTCTTTTTCTATGAGATGAATCTCTTGAAGGCCACAAATTATTGGGTCCTTTTATTTGTAATCCAATCTGTCAGTCTGTGTCTTTTGATTAATGTGTTTAGGCCATTAACATTCAGGGTTATTATTGAGACATGATTTGTATTCCTGGTCATTTGTGTTTATTTTTGGTATTTAACTTGACTTGATTTCACCTTTGATTGGTTTTTCTTTTAGTGTAATAACTACCTTTGCTGATTTTCATTGTTGTTTTCATTTCCTCCTCATGAGATATTTTGCCAAGGATGTTCTATAGTGCAGGTTTTCTAATTGTAAATTCTTTTAACTTTTATTTATTATGGAAGGTTTTTATATTATCATCAAATCTATGGCTTAATTTTTCTGGATATAAGATTCTTGATTGACATCCATCTTCTTTCAGAGCTTGGTATATGTTATTCCAGGGTCGTCTAACTATGAAAGTCTGGGCTGAAAAATCTGAAAAGGCCCTAATTCCCCTATATATAATGAGATTCCTTTCTCTTGTGGCTTTTAGAAATCTATCCTAATTTTGTATCTAGGCATTTTCATTATAATATGCCTTGGAGTAGATTTGTTGTGATGTTTTATATTTTGTGTCCTGTAAGCCTCTTATATTTGATTTTCCAATTCACTCTTCAGGTTTGGAAATTTTTCTGCTATTATTTCATTGAATAGATTCCTCATTCATTTGGTTTGTAACTCTATGTCTTTATCTAACTAATTATTAATTCTTAAATTTGGTCTTTTCATGTTATCCCATAATTCTTAGATGTGGAGCTCATGGATTCTTACCATCTTCACTGTGTGGTCAACTTTATTTTCAAGATTGTATATTTTGTCTTCATTGTCTGAGGTTCTGTCTGCCAAGTGTTCTAGTCTGTTGGTAATGCTTTCTATTGAGTTTTTAATTTGGTTTATTATTGCCTTCATTTCAAGGATTTCTGTTTGTTTATTGATTTTCAGAATCTTTATCTCCTTATTGAAGTAATCTTTTGCTTCCAGTATTCACTTATGTAGCTCTTTATTGAAATTATCTTTTGCTGCCTGTATTTGCTCTCTTATATCATCTTTTAATTCACAGAGTTTTTTAATTATTTACATCCTGAACTCCTTCTGTTATTTCTTCTGCTATTCTGGCCATGGATTCTAATAATGTAGTATCTTGGTCTGTTGGGGCACTTTCTCCCCCCCCCCTTTTTTTTATTGTTCACGTGTTTCCCTTCTAGCACTGAGAGTTCAAGGTGTTATAGTTTTAGTCTATAGGCTTATAGTGTTCCTGCAAGGTGTCAATACCTCTCCTTGATATTGCTTCTAGGCCTCAGCCAATGTCTCCAGGTGGGAGTTGCCCCAACTAAGGATGGAGAATAATTGTCCCAAGATGGAAGCAGATGCTTTCAGAGATGGGGTGTCAGGTTGGGATGGGCGGTAGTATTGTGAAGCGAGTTCAGATATGGAGCTCTGTGGCATGCAGTGTTGCCGCGGGTAGCTATCTCTAGATCCTGTCTGATGTCCTCAGATGATAGCATCTGTCCTCAGATAAAGGCAACCAGGAAAGCCCCATGCTGGTAGATAGGGGTCCACACAGGAGTGGTGGCCAGGTGTCCTGCACAGGAGTAGCACCTGGGAGACCTGTGTGGGCACTGATGCCTGTTGTCCTGCCTGGGCCATCAGATGGGAGTCTTGCATGGGCCATTGGCCAGGATTCCTGTATGGGAGAAGCTGTCAAGAGTCCTCTAATAACTTGCAGAGAAATATTATTCCCATTGCTTAAATCCCAAGTCATGGAGTAACAAGGAATGCAGCCTCCCTCTAGCCCACCATTTTGGATCCTCCCATCTACATTTTTACCAACAGTACATAGGGTTCCAATTTCTCCACCTCCCCACCAGAACATGTAATTTTTTTTCTTTCTTTAAATAATATATTTCCACTGGATCTTTGGAGAAATGTCTATTTAATTTTTTTGCTAATTAAATTGGATTATTCGGAGAGTTTATAGTTGCTATAGTTGAGTTGTAGTTTTTTTATATTCCTGGATTATGAATCCCTAATCAGATATATGATTTGCAAATATTTTCTTTCATTCTATAGGCTGTCTTCACTCTATTGTTAGTGCCTTTGATGTATAAAATGTTTTTAATTTTGATGTAGTCCAGTTAGCCTATCTTTTTTGTTTGTTTGTGAGCCAGTTTCATTGATATGTTTTAATTAGTTTGACTTGAGAATTGTACTCATTTCTGCTCAGCTGTGCTAGGGAAAAGGGGCAGAATGTTTAGAGAGCAAAGAAGTTATAGAGTTTATTGATAAATACTTGTGGGGGAGGTCCAGTGGCAGTGGGCTGGTGTTCCTCTGCTGCACTCAGTGCTGCTAGGACTTCACCAGAAAGTAATATCTTTTATCTGTCTCCACATTGTTCAGTGGTGGCTGCCTGATGAGCACCTCACTCCCCCCTGTGCTCTGGTCTGCATCCATGACTGCAGGGAGGCAAGTTGGATAGGTGAAGTTATAGAAGCAACTACAGTAACAGCATTAACTTACTTTTCTCCTTGTGTTACTATTGTTACTTGGGGTTGTCTTGTGTACTCAGCTCAGGTGTTCTCACGAGAGGAGATTTCATGCAAGGTATAAACCATTACTAAGAAAGAAAGCACCCCCAAGGAAGATGATAAGTTTCTTCCAAGATGATGACTTTTCTTGACCACTTGATTTTATTTGTTTATTTATTGAGCTCAGTTTGGGGGGAGTAAGTGGGGAAGTTGTTATAAAGTCCCACCCACATATTACCCCTCAGCTCTGATTTACAGACTATATTAGATTCCTAAACGTCTACAGGGCATGCTTTTATCTACAGGCATTTAAGTGAAACCTGAGGGGAGAGGGAGGCTATAATTACAATGATATTATAATGATAACAACAGAAGTACAACTCTTTCATGCTGGCCTAGATGACAGGTTTTGGTTGGAGGAATCTTGTCTTAATCATCCTGCTTTTCTATAATTTGGTATCTCTAATCTGTGTAAAGGTCTCATTTCCTCCCAACCAGACCTGGATCCAGGGTAATTTGTGTGTCTCTTATTTATAGAGGAGTCTTTGCATATCCATTACTTAGTCCTGGGGATAATTCTGGCTTGGATAAATTTCTTCTTAAAGAAAATGTGTGAGGAATCAGCACTTAGGCTCAACATGGGAATTAACCTCTTGGCTGCTTATGCCCACCACCCATGTCTATCTACCATCTATCACTTGCAAGACCAGCATCCAAAGGAATAGCTGACCAGGAACAAGTGTAAGAAAGTAACTTTCAACAGGTAACACTAACTTGCCCTAGTTCCCAGCATGAGTGAGAGAGAGCCAGGGCACCTCAAGATATTATATATCTATATCTATCTATCTATCTATCTATCTATCTATCTATCTATAGATATAGGTATATGGAAATTTTGTCCCAGGCAGTTCTCATTGTTCCCCAACTTGTCTAATATTTTAGAACAAAAAGGAGCATTAAGGATATAGCATTTTACTGTCCTCTTTTTTTCTTTAAGGATAATATAAGAGTGTAGGATAGGTGGGTAGGATTTGGGATTTCCTTTTACTTGATTAGCACTTAGGTTACTGCAGTGATTGTTACCTATGAAGTGTTTTATAATGTGCCCTTAGAAATCTCATTTCTTGTTGAGGCTTTTTAATGGCTGTCTCCAAACATAATTGCTCAGCAAAATGTCACATACCTCAAAAACTGTACTACAATATATAGTCACAAAGTCACCACTATGGAGACACAGAAGTGGGCAGAGACTCCTGGGTCTCTGTTTTAACATTTTTTTAATATACATCCCTGTCTATTATAACCTTTATTTTTTAAAATATCGATTTAATGTTATATCATTACAGATATAAAAAGTTCTGTGAGTACCAAACTTCCCTAATTGTATTGAATTAACAGTAGGGCTTTTATTCCTCTTCTGCAGATCCTGGTCACTCTATGTGCTAACTGTCTTCCAATGTGTCATGAGTGTCTCAGCCAGGGAGATCTTCCTGATGGAGAGGAATCTTTTTATGTGAGTAGGTTTCCACTCTGGGAAGTAGCATCAGACTCTCTGGTCAAACTGATAATATTCACAATTGAGCCAAGAATATACTCTGGGAGATTACTAGTATTGTTTTATTTCTTAGTTCGTTTAATTGACAAATGCAAATTGTATAGACATGTAAAGTGCAACATGAGCTTTTTCTGTATAGGGATTGCTAATATTAATGGAGAAGAAACACCCAGGGATGGACTGGAAAATCAAGAGGAAGTTGGGCCTGCTACTGAGGGAAAACAGAGTTTCAGTGTTAGATGTGGTCAGTGAATTCCAGTATTACAGGGAAAATAAGCAATAAAGGGGCTAAAATTACCTTTTTTGTTTTTAGCAAATAACAGGTCATGGTAGCAGTCATGGGAAAAGTTTAAGAAGCTTGGTAGAGATTTAATGCAAACAGAGGTGGGAAGTAAAAGTGACAGTTTAAGGAAGTGTTGACCTTGGTGGATGAAGGAGTAGAAGTGGCCAGAGGGCAGCCTTCCAGTAAAGAGCTGGCTGGTTTTGTCTCTTCTGTTTTCAAAGATGGAAGAGATTTTCCCATACTTACATGCCAAGGGCAGGAATTATCAGAGGGGAGGAATAAAGATAATGGTGGAAGAGTTTGAAATTATAAGAGAACTTAGGAAGAAGATGAGGATTTGGTAGCTGACTGGGTTGAAGGAAGAAGATTTTTTTTTTCTTTTGTCCCATGAGAATAGCAGAAGTAAAAAGGAGTTTAGGGTTGTGCACTTACATTGAGGCTTTGGAAAATATTAGTGTCAAATTCTTCACACTCAGAATTGAGGAGAAGAAGTCTGTGCTACCATTGGGATTAGCCCCTTGAGTGCTGCTCTTCAAGCAGAGTGAGGAGATGAAGACTGTGTCTCTGGAGGGGTGATGTAGGCCAGAATGGGTGGCAGCAGGAGGGGTGCTGTCATAAGAGGGTCACAGCAAGAGCCTTGTGGAGCTAATGCCCCAGAGAGGCTGCACCTGAGGTAGAGAAGGGTGTAGGGGTTCAGTCTGCAGCCTGTGGGCAGCTACAGTGTCAGACCTGGTGGCAGCAGGAGTCTGCACAGCAGCATCTCATCTGGGCTTTGCCTCTTGGACTAATCTGGGATGTGTGGTGTGTGTTTTTGTTCTGCAGACACGAGTACCTCAATGGATACTATAGGGTGTCATCTTATTTCCTTGGAAAACTGTTATTTGATTTACTATTTGGGAGGTTTTTTCCAAGTTTTATATTTACTCTTGTGCTATACTTGATGTTAGGTAAGTAACAAGACAAAAAGGATGTTTCTTTAGTCCTAAAATATGAGGTGATGCTAATTTCTAAATTCTCTGTAAACAAGTTCATGTTTCTCCAAATTACAAACCAAGCCAAAAGCTATTGAAACATTGTATCATCTCTAATATAGCTGCTAAATGTGGGCATTGTTCAGACTTTTTTTAAAAAACAACCATTTGTGTGGTGGTCGGAGGTGGGCAGAGGTGTACCTAAGATTGAACCTAAGGTATAAGCTCACAAGGCAAGTGCTGAACCATTCCATTTTATTTTTACTTTAATATGAGACATTTTAATCTTGATAAGTTGTCCAGGCTAGCCTTGAACTTGTGAGCCTGCTGCCTCAGTCTTCCAAGTAGCCACATTTTCAGTCATGCATACCTGTAAGCAGTCCAACAAACTTTAAAACTCTTTTTTAAAACTACTTTTTTTTTTTTGAGAAATGCTGTGTGTCATACACAAATATCAAAGGAATTTGTAAAACAATTTGAAGCTATGCTAGAGGAACTGATATTTATTGCCTATATATCTACATTTCTTCTCTGTATCTCTATGTATATCTCTATATGGAGATAAAATATACATAGATAGGTAGTATCTCGATTATCTATAGAGATACATTGTGAGCCATAAATAATCAACACACAGATACATCCTCTCCCTGTATCCTTCTAGGGTGAAAGAAAGATGGTGATTTTTAAAATAGATTGATTTAATAAAACTACTTGTTTGGTGGATATAGAAAGATGCATTTGTGCATTATGCTCAGATTTCCTCCCAGTTTCATTGCATGAGTATTTCCATATCACACACACACATAAACACACCAGAAGTATCTATTATTGACAACACACCAGAGTAAGAACCACGGATAGAGCTTAAATTTTACAAAAAAAGAGTGATCATAGGACTAGGGTTGTGACTCAGCAGTAGAGCGCTTGCCTAGCACTTGTGAGGTCCTGGGCTCGATCCTCAGCACCACATAAAAATAAATAAAATAAAGGTATTGTGTCTAATTACAACTAAAAAATATCTTTTTTTTAAAAAAAAAAAGTTGTCATAATGAATTTGTCATGAAATCTAGACCCGCAGACTCTTGTTTGGTGTTCTTGAAGCTGTTTCAAAATCTGCACACTATATGACCCAGAGCATTAGCGCATTATTGTTTATAAAGTAGTTACTTACTCTAACCCATTATCCATCACAGAGCCATGTGATGTTTGTCTAGGGAAGTCTTCCCTTATGGAGAAACTCTCCATTTCCCAAGGCACTAAATCCACTTGTGGAATCCCAACCCCAGTTTCTTCACTAATGCAGTTGCAGCAAACAGTGAACAGTGTGGAGATGTCTGGGTACATGAATATGCTCTTGAGTCTCCTTAGAGTGTAGAATTTTAGCCATTTGTGTTGCCTGTGTCTCTCCACCTCAGTATCCACCTTTGATACTGTTCATAATTACATGTAAAGAAGAGCAGGTGTTACATGGAAAGGTCCTTCATCAGTAAATGTACAAAAGAACTGTGATAACTTTGTGCAGTTACAATGAGGGAAAAAAATGAAGTGGTGAATCACGGTAGTTGGGTCATGTTTGTCTTTTTTTCATTCTGATATTAGTTGATTGGAAAATTGTAGTGTTCTTTGCATGTTGAACAGTCTGAAAGACAAGGTGACCTAGACAGCTGCACTGACCCCTTCTTTTCTTTCTGAGGGCTGAAACGAGGGATAACAGCTTTCCTCATCACAACGATTACCACTTTGATGGTGGCTTATTCCACCACTGCCATGATCCTGGCTATAGGAACACGTGAGAATGCAGCATCTTGGAAAACACTTCTGGTGATCGTCTATTTTGTGTTCGTGCTGGTGAGTGGGAACTGTGCTTCTGTGAGAGGGAATTTTCACCTTGTTTCTTCACACACATTCACCTTGATAAATTGGAACTTCATAATCCAGAGGAACTATCATTGTCCCATTTCCTCATAAAAAAGACAGATTACTTGCCTGCCTTTGACACTGATATTAGAGATTTGCCAGCTGTTTACCCACAGCATAGATGGTTTGGTTGGACTCACTACTCTCCAAGGTCAGAGTGAATACTGTGATATTCACTGCTTCATGAGTGTGCAGCATAGGGAGTCTGAGTTTTGAAAATAGTGGAAAATGTCCAGACCTATATATTATGTTTGATTTCCCCCTAGTTTCATTGCATGAATATTTCCATCTCTCTCTCTCTCACACATGCACACATAAAAACATGAGAAATATTTATTTTGACAACACACCAGAATAGGAACCACTGATAGAGCTTAAATCTATAGGTCACTTCCTGATGATCACTTCTCTGTTCTTATTTTGTTTCCAATGGTTACTTAGTTCTAATCTTACATGCCCCAAAAGTTTGCACTCACAGTGATGAATCAACAGGTGAATAGAACTACTTACCACTATGACATGAACCTAACAGGACTGCCTAACCATTAATACGTCCTTTCTGCTACAGTAGGAGCAGATGTCTTTCAATGATGCATAATTAGTATAAGTACTTGCCAAAGTTTAATTTTCCATACCTAAATTTGGCAACTACCAATGTATATCATTGAAAAAGTAATGTCTTATTTATATTTCCTATACATTGAGAAACTAATGTCTTATTTATATTTCCTATACTGTCCTTCAGTAAATGAAGTGTTTGTCAATAAATTAAGGTGTTTTGTTTGCTTTATTTGGTGCTCTGACTGATTGACATATAAGCATTTCTGTGTGGAAGTTTAGAAGCCGATCACAAAACTACATTTTATTTAGGGAAGCCGTGTTATCGCCAAGAAAGATGGTGATACTAAACACATGGAGTCTTCAAGAGTAAATATGTGTAGGCACAGTACAGCACCGGTCATTGTTTTGCATATCACAAGGCACCTTGCACCAGTTGAGTCAAGTGTTATGTAGACCTCAGAGGTGTCTCTTTTTTCATCTTAAGCATTCCCTCTTGTAGTCTTTATTGTGATACTGCTTTCTGTTAGCTTTAGGTGAATATATTGACCATATTTTCTGCTATACTTCACTATATTTTCTTCTTTATTAATTCTATGCTTTGAGTTACTGTAAGCCTGAATTATGTATCCCAGATTACTCCAAAAGTCACAGATACTCTGCACAGACCCTTGTAAATAATAAATCATATCATGTGGAAGTAGAGAGGGGTGTGTGATGCTCAGGATTGTCTGGCATATGTTCCTAGATGGTCAGGTTTATTAGGGGAAAAGATATTGGTGGTGCAATTTGAATAGTCAATGTAGTCAGCCTTTCTTGTCTATGGGTTCAGCATCCAAAGATTCAGCCTACCACAGATTGAAACTATAACAGAACAAAAATTGTCTCTGGAGTGAATATGTATAGTTATTCTTTTCTTATCTAAGCCATCCTGTATAACCCACATAGCATTTACATTGTGTTAGGTATTATAAGACATGGAAATGATTTAACATAGATGGGATATGTATTTTGTATATTTACAGCATAAAGAATGTACATGGGTTACATAAAAAAAACTATGCCATTTTTAAAATAGGGGACTTAAGCATCTGCAAATTTGGGGAGCGATGGATAGGTGAGTTCTGGAAATAATTCCTCAGATACCAAGAGATAACTGTATTCCTTAATCTTCAATTGTGTGCAATTACAGAGAAAGATGATGACATAATCCTGACAATTAAGAATTTTCCAACTATGTGAAACATACTATACAAATTATAGGTATATTTCCCAAAATCTTTGAAATAATTGAAATTGTATAATATAGTTTATATTATCCTTCATTTAATACCATAAACTGTCTCAGTTATGCACAGGTAATAGACATGCAAAGAACAAAGATTATTGTTTAGAGTAAGTTGAAAGAATTTCAAGAAAGAGTAGATCCTAGCAGAAATGTTAAGAAGGTTGTGGAGTTCTTGTAGAAGGCCTTGCCCAGGGTTCCTCATGAAAACGCTGAACTGGTTCTGATACTTGGTTTTTCTTTTCATAGGTTTTCTTGGGTATGTCATTGAATTTTGAAACCATGGCACCTCAGCTCTCCTGGCTTCAATACGTCAGTATTCCTCATTATGGCTATATGGTAAGTTGTCTTCATCTGCCATTGTAACTGGGTTCCCAAGCTGGGAACAAACAAAATCAAGCCCAACCATCTAATTTCCCGTCCATGAACTGTGAGTCTCTCCCATCTAGGAACTGTCTTTCAGGAGAAATGTGTGAGTATTTCCTGTTAGCCTTGGTAAGCACAAGGTCAGGGATTCATCTGGGGTTTTCCTCAGTCATCTGAGGAAGTCATCTCTTTGTTTGAGGGAGATGAAGAGTGGGAAGAAATCTCTCAGTAAAGGGGAAAGATTCACTAATGAATGAAAATCATATTCAGTTCAATAAGGCAATAAATGAAGGATGGGAGACTAGAATACATAGCATATACTAAAAAGGAAATTAGAAGAGAAACAAAGACATTGTAATACTCAGAGCCATACTGGCTTTAGCAAGTTAATTGGCTCCAAAGAAAACTGTGTCTTAACACAGTACAATCAAATTTTAACTACCAGATTTATAATTGATTTTGGATGCAGCAAACAAGAAAATATTATTACCTTAAATCAACAATATTCATTAAGCACCAATGTATTATTTGGATTACATTGTTTGTGGGGTTAAAATATTGGGAAAGAAGAAAATAAATATGGGGCAATAACAACCAGAAGTCTTTCTTCTTGGCCAATTTAAAACATCACAACAGTAGGCCTTTTGAGGATTAATCTGGAGGATATAACTGAGATACTTCTTTGGCACTTTTGTTTTTCTCTTTTGCGGTACTACAGAGTGAACCCAGGCCCTTGCCCATGCTCAGCATGTGCTCCTACACTTTGGTATATCTCCAGCCCTTTTTATTTTATCTTGACACAGGATCTGGCTAAGTTGAGTTGCCCAGGCTGACCTTGAACTTGCAATTCTCCTACCTCAGCCTTTGAAATTTGAAAGTGTTTACCTTGTCCTGTTCCCCCTTGTATTACAGGCTTTGCAGCATAATGAATTTTTGGAACAAAATTTCTGTTCAGGACCCAATACAACAATGAGCAACTGCCGTCCCAGCTTTTTGATGTAAGTTTGTGTTCAGTGTCCTAAAGGATTTGCTTACTTTCTACTGCGGTGTGATATTGAAAGTCTCCTGGGCTTAGAAAAAAATCGGAGTCCTTCCAGGGTCAACAAGAGTTTCTGAATATATGTTTTCTCACTCTTAAAGTAAGCCATGGTGCACTGGTAATGCATGGGAACATGCTGTGCATGTATTTGACTGCAGTCAAAATTATATTTAATGCAGAGAATTATCTGTTTTGAGCTTTTGAAAGATTGATGTTTTAGTTGTGGTTTTGAATTAACAAGAGAAAAGAGAATGCCAGTGTGTTAAGCTCATAGATTTTCCAAATAGTATTAAAAAATTCTTAGTAATAACAAATCTCTATTATTAATTACTTACAGGAAAAATTCTGTGAAAATTTTCTTTCTTTCCCCCTTAATCCTGGTTTGATCTGGGTGTGAAATCTTTGTAACACAAAGTCAGTGGCACATTGCTGGTCAGGATGAAGTGTATGGGAGAAGAAGGACCACATAAGGAGCCACCATGGGCTTCACACTTATATAAGGCTCATCCTCACAAGGCAAAGGAGGAAGGTTGTCTTCCAGGAAAGAGAGGCCATAGATTTTTTTTTTAATTTCTAAATTTGAAGAGATGCACAAGAATGGCAGCAGGCAATAATTGTGGCTCCACTGGGTTTCTTTTTAAGAATAGCCACTTTTTAACCTGTGGCAAAATATTGCATCCGTCTCTGCTCCAGCTGCTACTTAAGATTTGGCTGATTACCGATCCTGCTGTATCTTTCTGTAGCTCAGTATCTGCAATGCTCACAACAGTCTTGGTGCAAGAGCCTCTAGAGTATAACTCTAACTGGAAGCTCTTGCTCCTCCATGGTCCTTGTTTTATAGTTCTTAGCCTGTTTTCTTTGAATGGCTGTCTTGTGGGTGAGTAGAACTATGGGAATCTTTGATCATCTTAGCAAGGTACACAGACGTCATCAGTTAAAGATGAGGGTTCTCTATCAGGAGTAAGTGAAAAGTTACCTGAACAATATTTCCTTTGAAGAGAGCAGCATTACACATTTGGAAATGAGTATATCTGTGGAAGCTGGAAACTTGGTTCATATTGTGACTGCAAATTTGGCCAAGGTTGTGAATCCTAATTCTCCTCTTTAAAATATGTATAATATCAATACCCCTTTAGATTGTTTTAGGGTTTAACTAAGCATTTGGGTGCAAATTGCTTGGCATAGTATCTAGCAAAATTGTTAATATCCAACCATTTAATGATTGTTAATTATTAGATATGAAGGGATAACACCTGGTTAAACTGTAGGCTTCTTGGAAAAAGAAACAGTAACTATATTGAGTAAAATTTGACAGATACTAGGAATGAAATTGTAACTTTATTTGTGTTGAATTTCAGATGTACTGGTGAAGAATTCTTGAAAATCCAGGGCCTTGATCTGTCACCTTGGAGCATATGGAAGAACATTCTGAGTTTAGCTTGTATGATGATTATCTTCCTTACAATTGTCTATCTAAAACTGTTATTTCTTAAAAAACATTGTTAAATTCCTCTGTAATTTACTATGAATTACCCTTGATGAACCCAGCCTAATTCCATTTTATGATAGGGAGCCATCTCATCACAAAATTATGAAAAGTTAATTTCTCTTTTACTATAAATTACTGTAATTCCTAACTTACTTGGAATTCCTGCCCATGCCTTGAACTCACGCAGGCCTGGCTCCCCCTGACCAGATAACAACCCTCTCTGAAATATCAGCAATGCCTCATAAATTCTGATATTGGGATCTAAATTTATTCCCTACCTTGAAATGTTAAGCCATGTAGATCAATAACCTACTAACTACTTTTGTATTATGCTCGTCAAAATCCTGTTATCTGTAAGTTATCAATAGACCCCCCTTTGCAACTTTTTGTGCTATAAAAGCTTGTTATCATCAACAATTATTTTCATTAGAAAACTTTCACAAAAATCATAACAAACCATATTTTATGTGACAGAAACCAAGCAAAACACTGATGATATTATGCATTGTATAACAGTTTGTATCATCAGACAAGAATGCAGAAGAAATCCAGTCTAATTTATTGACCTGAAAAATGAGAATTGAATTCTAGAAATTCTTGACAAGTTGCCAACATCTTTGATATCAGTTTACTCACCTTTTAAATAAATAAGGAGTTTAGTATTACTCCAGTTTTAAAAGTCCATGAATCTGTGATTTTCTTAATTGATAACGTATATGTTAACATCTGGAGAGATTCTCATGATGGCATAGAGAATGACTGAATTTCCCGTTGCTTCTTGGCTTGGATACAAGCAGCAACACTGCCTCTCAGCAAGGTAGGTGAAAAGAGGAAATTCACTGAAATTCAGTATTGAAATTAGTGTCATGACTGGTTACTGAGAGTGATGACACCTGTTGCATAGGTAATAACTTATAGATTGAAGAGCTAGCAGTGGAATTTGTGCTTAATACACTATGGTAACTTAAATTTGAATTAGGTTTTCAAAGCTCTGGTGTTATATGATGAAACTGTGGTAATTGTACTTTATTTATTAACTTTGTGCACAGTGTGGCATGCTTATATACACAATGAAGATTTGCTAAAATATAGGCAACTGAGCCAGGCATGGTAGCACTCACTCATAATCCCACTGATTTGGAAGGTTGAAACAAGATGATCACAAGTTCAAGGCCAGCCTCAACAATTTATCTAGGCCCTAAGCAACTTAGAAAGACCCTATCTTGAAATAAAAAGTAAAAATGGCTGGGGATATAGCTCAGTGGTAAAGTACCCCTGGGTTCAATGCCCAGAACAAAAAATTCTTAAATATAGGCAACTATGAGACAGAATTCAGGAAAACAGGAATCTTGTGTTCCATGCAAGGGATTCTGATGTAAGAAGCTGAAGTTTTCGCTTACATCATGATTCCCATGCAACATGGTTGGGGGCTTAAATCAATAGAAAGAGTTACGGGTCCATCCTGTGGGCCAACATGATGTTGGGGATAATCTGAGTATGTTAAAAGTCTTTATTTGTTTTGTTAAATGTTTATTCTTTACTCAATAAAAAGAAGCCACACGGAGAAGACCACAGCTGCACCCTTTGAGGTCCTGTCTTCTTCATCAGCAATCAAGGACTTGCTGAGGTTTGGAAATGTTCTCAGGCTCCAGGCTGTGGCCTAAATCCAGGGACTTTTTTGCATTTACAGCTACCTTGGAAGGTCAAAGATAAATGGCAAATAACTAATGTAAGGTCAGACATCGGAGATGAAAAGGAGGCAGATTTAAAAAGGCTGCTGAATGAGGCTTTATTGAGATCTCACTCCCAGGTGGAACTCATACCAGACCGGCAGAGCAAGAAGAGGGTCTGAGGAGAAACTGCACAGGGGCTAGTCCAGACTGGAATTTTTATGGGGGTTAGGTCAGAAAGGGAGGATTTGGGACAGGAAAGGGGGTTTTTAGAGTCCTTTTTCCCACTGGAGTTGGTCAGGGAAACTGGCTGAGAATCAGGATTGGCCTGGATACCACACTGATTGACAGGCAGTTCCCTTGGTGCCTGATTGATGGTTCTTTCGCTGGGCGGGTTGCTTGGTGCTTTGTTCCTAAGTCACCTTCATCGACCTGACAACTAAATATTTTTCCATTTAAAATGGTAATTGAAATAGAAAACCTGGAAACATCTTTATATTATCTTCCCTTTCAGTTGCTGTCTGAAATCTGAAACTCAAAGTGAAACCCACTAGAGAAAATGCCTAAACAAATAAGAGCACCAACTTGATAAGAGTCAAAAGGATTATTTGAGAATTGAATTCAGGGCACAAAAGAAATCCCAGAAATTAATTTCAAATTAGCAGCATTTCTATTAAGCCTCCAAAGTAGCAATCATTTAAGTTATTCCTAAAATATGGCAAACTAAACTTCATTTTAAAACAATTTAGTAGATGCATATTGGTTTGGAGGTTTGACTGAAGTAATTCTCATTTTGCAATGAGGAGGTAAACTCTTTGCTTTTGCCTGCAAATATCTCCTGGGTGGTAAAAAACAGGATGAGTGACTACCTCCAATTTGCATCTGTCTTCTTTGCTATGAGTTACCTTGGATTCCAAGAATGATAGATCTGATGGATAAACATTTTGTGATGAGAAAAATGTACTCACTAGACAACAATGCTTTTTTTTATTGCCTACAAGAACTTGTCTATTTTTTTTTAAAGAGAGAGAGAGAGAGAGAAATTTAATATTTTTTTTTTAGTATTTGGCGGACACAACATCTTTGTTTGTATGTGGTGCTGAGGATCAAACCTGGGCCACACACATGCCAGGCAAGCACGCTACCACTTGAGCCACATCCCCAGCCCAGAACTTGTCTATTTCTGAGAGAAGAATCGACCAGACTATGTCTGACCAAGATCACCTTTTTTTTTTTTTTTTTTTAAGAGACAAAAAACCTCCACCTATGCAAAATCCCAACAGTTACCCTAATTTCCTTTCTATAAAACCTTAAAGTCATTATCATCTCCTTAAAGACAAGGTTAAGACAAGGCTACACTGTCTTCTTGGTGCAGCTGGTACCACTGGTTATGGGTGTCAATTCTGTCTTGATGTCCCCTAGGAGAAATTCAGCTGTTTGTTCTATTAATAGCTATAAATCTATGAACAAGATGAAGAAAACTCATATCTGAAAATATACTCTGCTCAATTGTAATTGTTCTACATATTGTGCTTGTTAGTCTGGTGGTTCCTAGTCTGTGTTGATGGTGATGATAGATTTAGAAACCAAAATTTGAGATGAAACTAGATTTTCCACTTATGGTGGGTAGGGTCTGTGTAAGTCTCACATCTTTGCAGCAGAGAAACCCATTTCAATGTTAGCAGCTAATCATAGCAAGGGAATGCCTGCTGGCATCAGTTCTGATGGTCTAGCTGGCAAAGTCAGATTCTTCTCCACTATGACTGGGCGGCGTGTTGTGGCTTTCAGTGGCAGACCCTAGCAGCTCTCTTCTAATTTCTTTCCTGGTTCTTATAAATGTAAAGAATGAAATCCAAGGACAACAACAGAAGGCAAGTGTGAAGGGAGTCAGATTTATTTAAGTGAGAAGAAAAGAGATAGGGTTTCTGCAAAGTGATAGATGATCTGATAGCAGGTTACAGTTTAAATGTGCTTGTCTAGTTTTCTCGACCAATCCCCATGAAATGCAGTGTCTGCTCACCCATTCCTGAGTCACCCTGCCAATCAGCACTCGTTCCTGAATCACCTTGCCAATCAGCACCCACCACATTGCCAAAGCAACGCTTCTTAAGCTGAAGCTTGCAGGCTCATGCTGCTGCTGCTCACTCTCTTCCTCTCCTTTCTTTCCCTCCGGGGAGCCCCCCTTCCCCAATAAAATCTCTTGGTTGAATTTCTGTCTTGGGCTAGTCACTTGCCTTTCATTGATCATGTCTTAAAGGGCCAGTAATAGATAGATGCAAAACCCACCACAGAGGTAGGCAACTAGAGGGGATACCCCAAAACTAGGGCTGACAGATGGGAACCTTGAAAATAGACGGACAAAGTGAGGGGGGGAAATCCGCTAGGTTCCTTATTTTCACTTAACTGTGATTCCTACTCCAATGGTACCACAGATATCCCCATGAAGAGAGACCAGATGTGTAGAATCAAGGATCTCAGCATGCACTGGGAACTTACCAGATGGCCAAGTTGCCATGACTTTCTGCATTCAGTTTCCATTTTCTCAAAGTAGACCAATTATTGTACCAACCCATACCATTCAAGGGGAGAAGGTGGAAGTTTCTTGAAGCAAAAGAATTCTCAGAAAGTGCTGAGATGGTCCCTCAGTCCCTCCCTTTACTTACAGGAATAGTTCCTCTGGTTCAGCCTAAGGCCCTCACCCTGTCTCCTAATTCTCCTGTGTTTGACTCTGTGAACAAGTGCACTAGCCATCTTGCAACCTCCGTATCAAGGAAGGGAGAAGTTGTTCAAAGTGCCAGATCTGCTCAAGAAGACCAGAGAGTCCTCTCAAGTCCCTTCATGGTCACCAAATTTTATAATGAAATCTTGGTGCTTGTCCCTGATAGAAATCTGATAATGAGGACAAAGTTTTGAAAAGAGAGAGAGAGAAAAAAAAGAAGTTTTATTGCCTTATTAACAAAAGAGAAACACAGAGGGACTCCTGTCCCAGAAGCTGTGATTTTGTCAGGTGGAACAGAGGGATTTTAAAGAGGTGATTCAAAGGCTACACTCTAGCTTTTCCCTGTCAGAAGTAATAATTCACTTGTAACCTTGAGACATAGTCATTTCTTCAATCTTGCAGTGTCAGCTCTGAAGTCTGGCTTTCTTCATTTCTGTAGTGCATGAGATAAAGGAAAGATAAGTTGCCCTAAGAGAGGAAGAAGGTTAATCTTGATTCTTCCATGGCTGGGGAGGGGTAGAGACAGAAAAGAAAAAAAAATCAGTTTTAAAATAAGCCACAGTGAAGAATAGCAAGGGTTACATTCGCAGCATCTCGTGGACCCGTTACAGGCAGAGAGCAAACAACCATTGGAGGTGATAAGATAAGATTATGAACCAGTTGAAGAACTTGTTAAGGGCACAGAGCTGTCAAAGTTCAGGAACTTATTCTAGGCATAGGTCCAGAAAGACAACAGTTTCAGATTGACAGTTTCAGATGTGAGCTTGGAGTAGGCTGTTCACGATCATCACAGGCAGAAAAAATTGCACTCTGCTGAAACTTGAGGACAAATATATGGAAATTCATCACAGTGGTGATTTTCTTAGGCAAGGCTTGTAACCAGGTAACTGGGTCAGGGTGCCACAGTGTCTAATCTCAGGGTGCTCCTCCACCCTGAGTGAGAGGGTTGCTTTCTTTCTTTGTCTGGTATATTCAATAAGCTCATGGTTCTGGATTTTCTGATGTGAATTTGATATGACCAATGCATCCATGTACTTCTGCTTAACATAGGTGGTAATTTTTATTAGCATGATTAATTTATTTATCAGTTTCTATCTTATGGTTATGGTAAGCAGATGGTATGGTTGTTTACTTGTACAGACAAGGTAGAGACATTATACCTCAGCACTTGTATACAAAATGCAGTAGGTCATGCCAACTCTTCTTTTACGAAGTGGAATAACTTGAGTTTAGAGATAATCTGAAAATTG